TCCGAGAGGATGAATTATTGGCTTCTTTGCCGGAGTCACCCGAGCACGGCTGGCCCTGCACTGGGACCGGAAGACGAAGACGCGTCAGGCCTGGCCCGTGTGCAGTGCAGGGGCGGAGGCAGACCCTGAACACCCCGGACACACCGCGTGCCTTGTGAGGGGGTCCCGCAGGCACTTGGGGGAGGCCGGGGGAGGGCCAGGGCCGAGGCCGCTCCACGGAGGAAGGAGGGGAGAGAAGGCAGCTGCCGCCCGGTGTGCATGGGGGGGGGGGGTGAGGGCAGGGATCAGGGAAGCTCAGAGGGGGGCCTTTCGACCTGCGTCCTGAAGGCTGATAGTTCCCGGCTGAGAGAGGGAAAGGGACGTCTACACAGAAGAACCGATGGTGGAAGGCTCAGGCCCCCCTCCCCCCGGACTCCGGATCTTCCAGCCCACGCAGGAGCAGCCCGGCATCTTTGCTCTTGGCCTTGTGCTCGGGGTCCTCCTGGGCTTGTGCCTAGGGGACCTGGGAGTCTTCGTGTGGACCTTCCAGGGTGGGAGGGACTGACAAGACAGGGTTCAGGGGGCGGGGTATGGGCCACCTGTGGTCAGGGCTGCACTGAGCACTAGCCAGTGAGGCAGTATTTCAGGAGCTGGGATGGGGCCCTGTGCCTTCCCTTCCTTGGCCTCCAGGCCCACCAGCAGCCCTCCACCCTGGAGAGGTGCCCGGGTATATTATACTAGAGTGTAAAAGGCTGCCGCAGAACCCTCCCATCAGGACCACAGACAGGGCCGCAGAGGCAGTGGGAGGTCTGCGTGCCAGGCTTCGCCCCACCACTTCCTGGTTCGTGTTTAACGTCTGCATTCCTGCGTGAAGTGAGATGCACTCTCAGCCCTGCCCACTGTACAGCGTCGTCACCAGGTTCGAGGGTCGGCAAGGAGGCGGCCAGGGAAGGCATCCGGAGACTCTGAAGCCAGGGTGGCTCCTCGTGCCCACCCTGTGCCCACGGCAGACACGGCTGGTTCATCCACGTTCCTTCCTGACAGGCCTGGACTCACACGCAGAGTCCTTGGCCGCACAGCGCGCCCGGCAGCCTCTACCACCCCACCCAGGCGCCGTGCGGGTTGAATCCTGTTTGCGGGCCTGCTGAGCCCGGTGCTCATCCCGTGCCCCTGGGGTCCTGTGTGAATAGCATCCTATTGTGTGGATGGACCAAGGTTTGTCAATCCATCCATCTCTTTCCAGGTGATTCTTTAAAAAAAAATTTTTTTTTAATTGATTTCTTCGAGGAAAAGAGAGGGAGAGAGGAAGCTAGAAACATCAATGACAAGAGAGAATAATCAACTGCCTCTCGCACCCTCCCCACGGGGGATCGAGCCCCCAGCCCGGACAAGTGCCCTAACCAGGAATCGAACTGTGACCTCCTGGTTCATAGGTCGATGCTCAACCCCTGAACCTCACCAGCCGGCGCCAGGTGATTCTTAGTGAGGGGCCAAGATTGAGGACCGTTGGCCTAACTCCTGTAGCCTCATCTTCAGCGTGGAGGACAGCATCTACCGTGCCAGGTGGCGTGGGCTTTAAATGGGGCGCGCTACCCGAAGTACGCGGGTGGGTCAGAAGCAGAAAGAACGCGGCGCCTGGGCGCTTTGGGGGAGCTCTCCGGGGAGCGGTGAAAAGACCGCCCGTCCTTTGAGCACTGCTGTGTGCCAGGCACCCCTGTGTGGGCTTTTGAGCCATACGATCCCATGGTACCTGCAGGCGAGGTACTATTACATCTTTTTACATAGAAGGAAGCTGCAGCCCAGAGACGCACAGTAATTTTCCTGAGGTCACACAGCAGCGAGGTGACTGTGCAGCCCTGTCCCACCCAGCTGAGCCTTGTTCCAAAGCCCCTGCCTCCCCAGTCCAGGGGGGACTCCCCTTCTGTGCTGCCTGCCTGCCGGCATCTGGCTCCTCCACGCGGAGCCGCCCTTCCACCCCCATCAAACGCCGTGGCCGCGTGGTCATCTAGTGCGCAGGCTGGCCACAGGACGGCGCCCTGTTCTCCAGAGAGGAGGCGGGAAGGCCCTGTCCCTCCTTGCGGGTACCTGGCGTCGGCCCCTTTAGGAGACGTTCCCAAAGTCTCAGGCCACCTCTGGCCGCCAGCTCAGCTGGAGAACATTCTGCATTTGTCTGTGCATTTCAGCTGTGCAGAGGGCCCCCCTGTCCCTGCCGGGCGGATAGGCAGGCCGTTATGCGTGCGCACAGTGGCATATTCCCACAGTGAAGGGAGGGGACCGCGGACACAGGTCCACGAACCTCGCCCACAGGGAGCCACGGCAGGAGCCACGGCAGGAGCCACGGCAGGAGGGAGGGTGGAGAGTGGCCAGGCTGGCAGCGTTACCGCGAGGAGGCCCGTTTCCTCACTGTAGAAAACACGTTTGCCTTCAACACGTTTTGAATAGGAAAATAAGAAAACCCCCTTGGGGCATTCAGAGCGTTTCCTTTCTCCTAAGAATGCACTTGGACTTGGTATAATAAATCCTCTTTAGACGTTAAAAAAAAAAGGGCTTCGGACTCCGTTTCCCGTGGGACCTTCTGGAAACGCGACGCTGTGGGGACAGAGAACAGGGCTGGGGAGGACTGGGGACCAGGGGACACGAGGGCGTTGGGGGCGATGAAGGATCCTGAGGGGTGACGGCTACACGACCCTCTACATTTGCCAAACCCATGCAACTGTAGCAAAGAAAGAAAAAGAAGTTTATGTAAATTAGAAGGAAAATGAAAACAAAAATGAATTCACTGTCCTCTTAAAACGCCTGCGCAGAGTTCACGGAGAGAGCCCAGGCCGGGGCGAAGGAGCGGAGCCGGCGCCGTGGGCTGTGGGAACCGGGTTCTTGGGCATCTGCCCGGCCCGGCCCTGTCTCCCGGCCTGGCTTCCTCTCGCCGCCTTTGTCACTCTGGGGCATTCGGTAGCTGCCACCGCACAGGGTGGGGTGGGGCGGGGGACAAGGGAAGTTTTGTGGGGCCCAGAAATAAAGGAGTAGCTGCCCAGCCATCCTGGGTTGCCACGGCAACCGCATCATCACCCTCGAACCGGGTGGCTGGCACGCTGGGGGCTTGGATGGTGTTTGTTAAAGGGCCAGACGGAGAGAGGACAGCCGGGCCGGGCCGGGTAACGGCATGAGCCCCGCTCCCGCGGGAGAAAGGCCTCGGCTCCGGCCCAGCCCGGTCAGCCAGCAGGTGTCCATCGGCGCCGTCCGGGGGCTCGGGGCGGAATCTACCCGTGTGAACACTGGGTGTGCGTGTGTTCGTGTCGCTAGGGCTTCGGTAACAGATGACCGCACGCACTTAAGTGGCTTAAAACAGCAACTTCAGCCCTGGCCTGTTTGGCTCAGTGGATAGAGCATCGGCCTGCGGACTGGAGTTCCGGGTTCGAGTCCAGTCAAGGGCACATGCCCGGGTTGCAGGCTCGATTCCCAGTGTGGGGTGTGCAGGAGGCGGCCCATCAATGATTCTCTCTCATCATTGATGTTTCTCTCTCTCTCTCTCCCTCTCCCTCTCCCTCTCCCTCTCCCTCTCCCTCTCCCTCTCCCTCTCCCTCTCCTCCCCTTCCTCTCTGAAGTCAATAAAAACATATTAAAACAAAACAAGAACAGAACTTCGTTCCCCGGCTCTGGAGGGCAGAGAGCAGGGTGTGGGCAGCCGGGTCCCGGGAGGCGCTAGCGAGTCCGCAGGGCTGTCTCCCAGCTTCTGGCGGGCCCGCCACCTGGGCATTCATTCCTTGGCTGTGGAAGAATCATGCCAATCTCTGCCCCGACATCAGTGGCCCCTGGCTCTGTGTCTCCCTCTTTTATGAGGATCCAGTCCCACCGGAGCAGGGCCCGCCCCCTGCAGTGACCTCTTCTTCGTGAATCACACCTGCAGCAGCTCTGAGGCCGCGTGGGGCCGCACTCTCGGGCTCCGGGGGTTCAGGCTGCGACGTCGGAGTTTTAGGGGACACTACCCGCCGTATGGCACTAGTTTTGTTGTCAGGACGTGTCATTTACTGAGCCGGCTGTGGCCACGGACGTCCTCCGGGGTCGCAGTGAAGAAGGTGGGCTGGTGGGCTGGTGGCTTTGGTTTCTGAGGAGTCTGTGCTTCTGTGGGCTCCCCACTTCCAGGGGTGGGTCCCCCACCTTCTCTGTGACCATAAGCCCAGTGTTTAATCCGCCCCCGCATGGTGCTCGGACCGTGGGAGAAAGAGCACTCTGTCTGTCCTTCCTCTGAGCTCCGAGAGCACCCACCAGCACCCGCACATGGTAGGTGCTCAACTAACGCTCCCCGGGCGAGTGTGGAAAATACTCCACAAACTCAGTTAGCTGGACTACCGTGACGCCTGCGTACAGAATGGAGGCTCCGTGCACTGTGCTGGCATGGCCCCCGCATACAGAAGGTGCTCGATAGATGCTCCGTGCACTGTGCTGGCATGGCCTCAGCATACAGAAGGTGCTCGATAAATGCTCTGTGCACTGTGCTGGCATGGCCCCCGCATACAGAAGGCTCGATAAATGCTTTGTATACATAAGGTGCTCAATACGTGCTCTGTGCACTGCCCTGCATCGAGGCCCGTGTTCTGAGCCCTGCACTCATTTCCATTTTTGTGGGTCTTCACAGTAGTGACGGGTCTCGGGGGAGGTTTTGGTGCTGCGGTTCCCATTGGTAGGCAGTGCGGGAGCCTCACCCACGAGGACCAGGTTGGAGGTGGCTTCCTGGGGGATGGTCCCCTGGGAAGGGCTGGACGGGTGGGGCATGAGCTGTCTCCCCGGAGGTGGTCACGTGGGCATGTCACCCTTCGTCAGGCGTGCCCTTGGGGAGCTGTACTGTGTGTCAGTGACAGTAAAGAACAGCAGCACCCCGACCTTCAGCCACATTCTGTAACTCCCCGGGGATCAGGCGTTGGATAGTACAAGACATGTGATAGGGAGAGATTGGGGGCGCGGGGAGTGGGACCCTCTCTTCCCACCGCAGGGGCCGAGCTCCAGGAAGGTGCCTCTCCTTCCAGGTTCATGAACCACTGGGTGCCCGCCCACAAGAGGTACCAGCCCACGGAGTACGAGCATGCGGCCAACTGTGCCACCCACGCTGTGAGTGGGCCCCCCGGGCGGGGCTGAGAGCTGAGGGGCACCTCCAGGTCGGGGTGGGGAGGCACTGTGTCTCTGGCCCACGCGATGCCCACACGATGGCCCACGGCCTGCTCCTCATGCCCCCGTGGCCCCAGGAGGGTGAGCCATGGCGCTGAGCCGGCCTCTGCCTGGGCCTCTCCCGGGAAATGGCCATCACCAAGGCCTGGAGGACCAGGGTTTCCGTGGACATGGTGGGGACCGCATGTGTGACGAGGCGGAGGCGGCGGCTAGGGGGCGCCTGGGGACCTCGGGCCGGCGACCTGGATGCGGAGCAGAGGGAGCGGCCGGAGCTGCCCCTGGAGGCGGGGCCCCCGCTGCCTGTTCCCAGGGCTGCCGTCCAGTGTGAGCCACTGGCCTCCGGTGGCTGTGGACATTGACACTGAAATCAGTCTAATGAATAAAATGTAAAATTCCTTGCCCAGCCCTGGCCGGTTTGGCTCAGTGGATAGAGCGTTGGCCTGCGGACTGAAGGGTCCCAGGTTCGATTCTCCATAAAATATATTTTTTAAAAATTCCTTTTCCCAGTGGCACAAGTCACGTTTACTAGAAAATGCCCCGCAGCCACCCGTGCCTGGCGGTCCCCACTCTGGACGCGCAGGTTAGGGTGTCCCCACCGCGGGCAGGAGAGCGGGAGGGAGGGAGGGTTCCGGCCACCGGAACCACGAGCCAGCACTGCCTGCACCCCCGCTTCCAGCTCTGGATCATCCCCAGCTTCCTCGGCAGCTCCAACCTCTACCTCCTGTCGGACGACGCCTGGGAGACCGTTTCCGCCTGGATCTACGGCCTGGGCCTGTGCGGGCTCTTCGTGGTGTCCACCGTGGTCACACGGTCTCCCGGAAGAAGCGCCACCTCAGGTACCCAGCCGCCCGCGGGAGGGCCTGCCGCGCAGGGACCTGGCCGAGGGGGGTGGGAGGCGGGGTTCCCTCGGGGATGCTGCCAACAGCTGTTTGCTGGGCGCTTCCTGCCCTGCACGTAGGCACCCACCCAGCGCTCACAGCCGCCTGCGATGGTCGCTGATGCCCCCCTGTTACAGAGGCGGGGACTGAGCCCCGAGCAGGGAGGGGACTTGGTCAGGGTCACAGCCCCTAAGCGCTGGCCTGGGATTCGAACCCAGGCCTTCTGGCCCCAGAGCCTGGGCACGAAACCACAAAGCCAGAATCCAGAGGGTCTTTAGGGGGCACAGAGTTTATTTTATTTTTTAAATAAATTTTTATTGACTTCAGAGGGGGAGAAAGAGAGAGGGAGAGAGAGAAACATCGATGATGAGAGAGAACCCCTGATCTGCTGCCTCCTGCATGCCCTCTAGTGGGGACCGAGCCCAGGCATGTGCCCTGGACCGGAATCGAACCCGGGACCCTTCAGTCCACAGGCTGACACTCTATCCACTGAGCCAAGCCAGCCAGGGCGGGGCGCAGAGTTTAATAGTTTTGCATTTTAGCCACAGAATTCTTTCCTTACTTGCAATCTCCTGAAAGCCCAGGATGTACGATAGAAACGCAGAGGGGAGGGGAGGAGGGTCCTCGGAGGGACCTGGCGGCCCCAGCTAACCCCAGTGGTAGGGAGCCTGGCCTGAAAGCCTGGTCGCGGGGAGACGGAGGCCGAGGCCGAGTGGGTGGCTGGACAGACGGGGCCCCGGCCAGGCCCTCGCTGGGCCAGCGCTGCCCGGCTGCGGGGTGACGCCGCCTTCTCTGCCCAGGATGGTGGAGCGCTGCCTGCACATGTGTGACCGCATGGTCATCTACTTCTTCATAGCGGCCTCCTACGCGCCCTGGTGAGTGCCCTGCGGCCACGCGCGGGGTGGGCTGGCTCCCTTCCTGTCCTTGTTCGAATCGCTCTGTGTTTGGCGGGCACCACGCTGACGGCACAGACAGCGCGCGGCCGCCCCTCCCCCGCTCTAGTGCCAGCTCCCCTGTGTGTCCAGCTGTTTCCCGCATGAAACGGCCAGTGTGTGCAAACAGGTGCCTATGTGACTGTCCATGCAGACAGTGCATACACACGCACACACGCGTGCACACTTAGAGTTTATAAGTGAACGTTTACAGCACTTTTCTCCGACCGTAACACGGCAGGAAGGATGCTGTGCCGACTGCCCCGCAGGTTGCGTTCCTTCTCCTAGCTCAGTGGTTGGCAAACTCTTTAGTCAACAGAGCCAATTATCAACAGTACAACGATTGAAATTTCTTTTGAGAGCCACATTTTTTAAACAAACTATATAGGTAGGTACATTGTTATTAACTTAATCAGGGTACTCCTAACTGGCCTTCGCTAAAAATGTCCTCAGTCTGCTGGAGGTGCGTTCGCTGAGGTCGAGCCCTTCCAACTCTCCCGTCCACACTCGTCTTGTTTACTTGTTCCGTCCATCTCCTTCCGTTCATCCTCTCTCTATGTCCACCCCCCACGTCTTCTAACGCCACTTCTTCAAAATAGACTCGCCCAGGCCGGAAACCGACTTCTGCGCATGTTCCACGAAGTTTCAATCGCACTGTCCGTGCACGCCCGCACGTGGTATTTTGTGGAAGAGCCACACTCAAGGGGCCAAAGAGCCGCATGTGGCTTGCGAGCCGCGGTTTGCCGACCACTGTCCTAGCGCATCGCTGGGACATCTGTCCACGCACGCACATCAAAGAGGTCGCTTTTCACAGCAGCGTGCTGTGCTCTGGTCGCTTGCGTTTATGGGTGTCTATCACATCGGGACACTCCATTCCTGCTATCGTAAAGAGTGCCACCTCGACTGTCCTTTTTTATTTTTATTTTTAAAAATATATCTTATTGATTTTTTACAGAGAGGAAGGGAGAGGGATAGAGAGTTAGGAACATCAGTGAGAGAGAAACATCGATCAGCTGCCTCCTGCACACTCCCTACTGGGGATGTGCCCGCAACCAAGGTACATGCCCTTGACCGGAATTGAACCTGGGACCCTTGAGTCCGCAGACTGACGCTCTATCCACTGAGCCAAACTGGTTAGGACTCGACTGCCCTTTTTAAAAAAATACATCTATATTATAAACGGCCTGTGGCCCTAACGCCGTAACGATCGGACTCACCAGGAGGTACACTGATGGGTCCCATGGCACCAGCAGCCGGGACTATATATGTATATAGTATGTATATATATATTTATTGATTTCAGAGAGGAAGGGAGAAGGAGAGAGATAGAAACATCAATTGTGAGAGAATCATTGATCGGCTGCCTCCTGCATGCTCCCGACAGGGGATGGAACCCACAACCCGGGCATGTGCCCTGACTGGGAATTGAACCGTGACCTGGTTCACAGGTCTATGCTCAACCCCTGAGCCACGCCGGCCGGGCATGACTGTCCTTGTTTGTGTACCATTGAGCCCCTGTGTGCGGACCTGTTGGCTGAATGTGATGAGGTTGCTCAGAGGCGACCTCTTGTGACTTCGGACAGCAGCTTCAGACGTCCAGCCCACCCTTGCGGGATAAATGCCGAGACTCACGCAGGCTTCTGGGCGGCAGGGAGGGGCCCGGTCATCTGTGGCCTGTTTGCCAGCGCACCCTCCCCAGAGTGTGCCCGGTTACACTCCCCCAGCACGTCACTCAGTGTTCGAAAGTTCTGGCACGAAGAAGCCCTGAGCGTCAGGCCACCCCGTGGGAGCCGGGGAGCCTGCAGGGCCTGTGCCGGGGTGGACCTTCCACTCACGTGTGCTGACCGTGCCTGCGTGGCTGGGCTGTGCTGGGGTCAGGACACTGAGGTTCTGTAGGTGGACGAGGGTCTGAGACAGGACGGTGGTACCCGGTGGGACGGGCCTGTGTGCACTCAGCCATGGGCGCTCAGAGGAGGCAGTGCGCTGGCGTGGGGGCCGCCGGAGGGCTGCCTGGAGGAGGGGGAGCCACAGAAAGGTTTGTTCCATTTTTGCCCCAGGAAGCTCTCTGTTTGGCTATTCCAAACCGGGCCTTCTGTCTCATTACATCAGCTAATAAATAGGTTTTGTTTGCACATACAGAGGCGATTGTTTTTTAAACACGTCTGATGGAGGGGTGCCGTTCCTGCTGTTTGTCTGTCTGTCTGTCCCGTCTGTCTGCCTGCCTGTTGGTGCACACAGACCTGCCCAGCCTGGGCTTCTCTCCTGAAAACCCGCAGGGTTTAGGCTGTCAGACGCCAGGGAGGCAGGCGGACGGAGACTTCTAGAAGCCTAGAAGGCCCTGGTGAGGAGTGCAGCGCGGGTGGGTGGGCGGGAGGCCACCGAGCGCACCAAGAGCAGCTAGAGCTGGAGGCCACCGGAGGGGCTCGGTCCACCAGCGGCTTCTCGTCGGCCGGAGCTCCCGAGGCAGCACCTGCGGGTCAGGAGCCAGGCAGCTCCGGGGCCTGCTTGGATGTGGACCGGAAGTGTCAAGCTGTTCTGTGCTCAGCTGCCGGGACAGACAGATCTGTAGTAATCCCGACTCTCCGCCCTTTTGTGGGTGGTGCCTGGGTTTCCATTCCTTATCCCTGCGGTGACCACGGAGCAGGGACTCTGTGCTGCCCCCTGCTGGTGGCTGGGGAAGCGGTGACCACGGAGCAGCGCTCTGTGCTGCCCCCTGCTGGTGGCTGGGGAAGCGGTGACCACGGAGCAGCGCTCTGTGCTGCCCCCTGCTGGTGGCTGGGGAAGCGGTGACCACGGAGCAGCGCTCTGTGCTGCCCCCTGCTGGTGGCTGAGGGTACACCGGCCGTAACTCTGGGACTTAGGGCTGAAGGTCCCTGGGCGGACACAGCTTGGCGAGGGCCGTGAAGCAGGGGTACGGTGGGTGCGGTGCGAGGTTTGTGAGCTGCTCGGGAGGAAGAGGCAGCAGAACTGGGGGTTGATTGGACGGGGGACGAGCGAGCCCGAGGCGCTCCTGGTGACCAGCGCCCAGGCGGGAAGCGGGGTGGTGGCGGAAGGGGCCGGGCGCAGGCGCTGTATGTAGAGGATTTTCGGTCCCGTTGCTCTGACTGTCCAGCTGTCCTCTGAGAGCGCTGAGCGCCCGGGGCCGCACTGGGGGCGGGCGTCTGGCTCCCCATCCCGGCCCCAATCCGAAGGCCCCTGTTTTTGTTTGCTTTTATTTCATCTTTGACAGATTGGACTTACATAGGAGCTTCCTGGATACAACCTTGACTTAGAGAAAGAGTGTGGTGTTAGGGGACCGAAGGCTCTGGCCTGGGAGAAGGGGCATGGACGGTATGGGAGCGGCACGCCGTGTCCGGCTGGGCCCTGGAGCTGCACCGCGGGCCACGCGTGTGCGCACGGCAAAGCCTGGCAGGTCCTGCCTGGTGGCCGTCCCAGCGGGCCCACCGTTCATTGATTGACTTTTTTTTTTTTTAAGAAAGAGAGAGAAAAGGAAGCAGGAAGAGAGGGAGAGAGAAAGGGCGGGAGAGAGGAATACTGGTTTGTTGTTCCCCTTATCTATGCATTTATTGGTTGTTTCTTCTGTTTTGTTTGTTTGTTTGTTTATGGGCTGTTTGTTGTATGTGCCCTGATCGGGGATTGAACCTGCAACCTTGGCATATCAGGACGCCACTCTCACCAGCTGGCTGGCCTCCTGCCTCCCCTCCGCGCCGAGACATCCGTGTGGCTCATTCCCTCTCCTGATTGCTCACGTGTCACTGTTGTGCCCAGATTTCAAAGTTCCCAAGACCCCCCAGGGAGCCAGTCAGTCCGATGCAAAAGCAAAGAGTCATTTACTTCAAACCTAGGTTTGGCTCCCCTGCCACACTCACCGATGCAACGGTAAGCTCCAGTGGCCGAGAGAGAGAGACGCCTGTTGGGACCGGGGGTTTTAAAGGGGGGTGGAGTGAGGGCAGGAGAGGGGACTGTGGGCCCCGCTGATTGGCCAGGCGCAAGTCGGTCATAGTGATGGCGTGCACTTCCCTTGATTATTATTGGTTAGTCCAGAGAAATCCTGGGTGTGGCTAGCAGCGGCTTCTTCCCGTGAGGAAGCACATGGTACCGTCCCAAAATGGAGGACCCAAGGCAAGATGGAGGGCGCACGTGGCTCTGTCCCAAGATGGAGGACCCAAGGCAAGATGGAGGGCGCAGTCCTTGTCCGGCTCCTGCCGCTCGAACTCGCCACAAGGCAGGATGGCCCTCCCGCACAGCCCCCGCAGCCGGCCTGCGGGCAGACTGGGACTCCAGCGCGTCTGGGCGGCACAGGCCCAGCAAACGGGGTGCGGCCGGTGGAGCGGCCCAGCTCTGGAGGAGCGGCATCCGCTCGGAGCAGGCCCGGCCATGGGGCCGGTGCACTGCAGCATGGCGGCCTCCCCGAGCTAGGGCACGCGCCCCACTCCGCTGCCGCCGCTGCTGCACTGGGCCCGGTCCGGGGGGCAGCGGGCGGGCGGCAGCCCACGCCGGGCTCCCGCCGTGGGCTGGGGAGCCAATGCCCCCCCCATGGGGCCCAGCGGCTGGCCCACGCAGGCCCCGGTCCCCCCCGACCGGGCCCCAAGGGCCGCATGGACCCCCGGCCCCAGCGCGGGCAAGCGGGGAGCCGACCACGGGGGAAGGGAGGGAAGAGCCAGGCGGTGAGGCCTTCCGCTCCCATGACCTCCCCCGCGGTCGGTCGCCGCCCGGCCCCACCCCTCGGCCCGCCGCCGGCCACCACGCAGCCGGCCCGGACACTCGGACCCGCTCTGAGGAGGCCGGCGGCCGCGGAGGGATCCCAGAGCCCAGCGGCCAGACTCCTCCTCCCGCACCGCCCGGAGAGGCGGGCGGCGCGCCTTTCATTCCCCCCTTGTCTTGGAACTTCTGGCTCAATCATGAGACGGACTGCAATTCTATTCTACCAAAACTATCAACTG